GTAAATAGATGAATGAATCTGTCACGCCTCTCTTCATATTGGAGGAATGGCATCAGTGCCCCGTCCGGCCGTTGGAGAGATAGTGTGGCTATAAAGACCACCACTGACCGAACTTTATGGTTGTAGTTATTTTGTGTTGGAAAAAACGGCTGAATTTTCTCAAAACTTTTAGGATACCCTAATAGCCCGTTTTCAGTTTTGCGACTATTACAATTTCACCTAATTCTAGGGGTTCAGCTACCTGTGGCAAAGTTTTCCGTCAGAATTCATACTGAACTATGACAACTTCTCACCCATTTTATTAAATGCTTATTAAGTGTTATAGCTATAGGAGCGTGCTGTTGAATTACCTTTTATACCTTCATGATATCCCATTCTCTTTTTTTATTAGAAGTTGACATGATGGTGATTGCGATCATTACTAATACACTTATCACTGCTGTTATCTGAACATTGTTTATTATCAAATGATATTCGAAGAGTATTTGTTTATTTCATTGTGCTTTCTTTGACTACATAAAATGATTCCGTGAGAAAAATAAAATAGAATAGCTCAAACGTAAGAAGTTTTACACTGTGAACCCTATCTTGAAAGAAGTTTTCTGGTCCACACACTGACAGCGCTCGTTACTGAGCTTATGTTTCTGCCTATTTTCTTTCTTCTGAGTTTGAAAATCGAAAACCAAAACTTTGGTTTCCAGACCCTGAAGAAGGCGGAGAGACCGAGACGTAAGGGCTACATTCAATACATTCACAATAAACTTACACATCTAGAAAATTCAACAGCACCAACTTTTCCTAATTGAATGCTGACAACGAAGGAAAAACAAGCTGGCTAGCCGACTAGGGAACTACCAAGAGCCTCTAGGAAAAGCTCTCAAGTTATTGCACATGCTACCTGCTCGGATGCCTTCGAAGGATCCTAGTGAAGCATTGGAATGTATCATGCTGAATTATAGACAGTATATTATGTTGTTCGGAAAGGAATGCACATTGATTTGTCCATTTATTTCTTCCCTACAATACATGATTTTTCAAAACAGCTTTGTCTATTAGAAAGGGATTTTCATTGCGCATCTTTTGATGTTTTTTTTTTTTACGTCTACTTTGTTTTTTTTTTGGAGTAAGAAAATTTAGGAAATGCTTGACCAAAAATTAATTTTGCGAGCTTGCATCGGGTACGATTTCAAGCAAGGCAAATCGGCTGCTTAAACTCATCATCTGAGTCATCTGGTGAAGAAGCACTGTCAGAAAGCCACTATCGACGTTGGTTCCAGCGTTTCAAATGTAGGGTCGCGGGGATGCATCGCGAAAATCATTTTGGAAAAAACTGAAGAGTCGGGGTTGGAAAGTCCTGCCTAATTCGCCACACAGCTCGGACCTGGAACCATCCGATTACCATCTGTTCCGGCCGATGCAGCACTCCCTGGCCGAGAGAAAGTTTACGAACCGAGGAGGTTTTTGGGGGTCCAACCCTGGGTGTTCAACTATATTATATCAGGTTGAGTCATAGGTCATCGGACAAAGTGATGTGAGTGATGACTTCTAGAGATCATAACTTGGGAAAGAGGTGACAAAAATGGACGCACGTGGCATTATTAGATAGATAATAAAAAACTCTCCCAAATACTTTTCAACAAACACACCTAACTGTTTCCTGCCCTGCAACCATGCCCCATGATTTCAAGCCATCGCAACTTCACCTTCGCAACCCCATCCTATTTCTTTTTTTATCTGGACAAGAATCCGCGGAGATCGATAGATGTATTAAGGAAGTTACAAGAAGGGTGCTCCTGCTAGACGCACAGTTTACAAGTGGCACTCGAAGTTCACGTCGGACGACTATTCCATCGAAGATGAAGACCGTCCGGACTTAATGATTTTACACTGTTTTGCCGTACAGGTTTGTTATGGTGAAACCGTTTTATTAGGTCGACGTTTCGAACAACTCATCGTCTTCAAGGACCTGAAAGTAGTTTGGAGCTCCTGACCTGTGACTTA